CCCCCCCCCCCCCCCCCCCACGGCTTGAGAAGGCAAACGATTCTGCCACTTACAATTTAAAATAGCAGAGATAAGACCGCTTTTCCGAGTTGACACAGCACCGTAACACCTGTGTTCACTGAAGCGAGGTAATCGATTGATGAAATAATAATTTCATCTGGGGGTGTGCGATAGGCAACGTTTACTCATACGGCAAAAAGTCTATAAACCGGCAGCTGACTTTTGACTTCAAACTGCCATGACCCCACTGTATGGCATATTTGACTACTTTCACAGTACTCACCTCACCTTTTCTCTACCTTCACCTTGGAAAAAACACTTCCATTCCCTCCCCTTCTCGACTTCTTTCACTTTGATATTCCTTCCCCTCTGTGAGGCCTGAAGTCAACTAAAGGGCTAATGGTAACCATCAAAACGCCTGTCATTTGATATAAATAAATAGTTTCATATGTAACAGCAGATCCATAGTGGTTAATTAGTGTATGCTCTATTTTATCATGACCCAAGTTCAGGAAATATGCGTATTAATGTTGTCAATTTAAGGGGAAAAAGAGTTCAACTCTGAAGGGAAACACCCAGTGAAGAAGGATGAGAGCTTATGATAGTCTCTCTCTCTCCCCCTCTCTCGCGAGAAATGGACGCAGAAGTTGGTGAATGGATTTGAAATGACAGAAAGCAAAAATATTGGGAGACTCATTAATCATTCAATGTACGTTCCCCGTTCGCCCAGGTGGCCAATAGTAGATGAAAATGAGGGCGTACTAAATCAGTTGTCCAATAATTAGTCGTGCGAACGGGTAGATAGCAAAGGGGAAGTGGCGATATACTCACCTTAAACCAAGTGTAGCCTCCGTCATTGGAGACGAAAACATCTGCTGGAGTTGTTTTGAGATGTGTCGCGACGTGACCATGGACAAGAATTAATCCTCGAGCCGATGATGTCGTTAGAGGCGGTGAAGCCACCACGCGCTTTCGGAGACTGAATTGGTTACTCACTTGTAAACCACATACCTAAAAAATAGCGTAGGTAATTGTTAGCAAAGTGATAACTGCGGAAGTGGAAGAAAGACGAGGGTATTTAAGGTGAACAATTCGAAATTTAAATTGATGTGGTTGACGTTTCAATTGGCGTTTAATAAATGGCATAGATCCACTTAACGTAAGGAGATTATGAAGATTAAATTGATCCGTTCATTAACCACAGTTTCTATGCGAAAGTGGCAAATGTTGCTAAAGTACAAATAAGGGAGGGCAGGGCAATTCCTTCATAAATGCCAATTTTAATTATCTTCCTTCCTGAGCGTGAAGCTACTGGTCATTAATAGTTAGTTATCAGCTTCAATAGCTAATTGAGGGAGAGCGAACTGCTTTTTATAGGGAAAAAAATGGAATTGGGTGGTTTTGAGGTTTGATTGGCTGAGAAGTTAATAACTCGAGACTCCTTCAAATGCACATTTCTGAATTCCCCCATTAATTTCTCTCCGGTGGTGCATAAACGTCCACATGGACCCCTTGTCTAAACGTTGACTAAACATAAAGCATTTGAGGAATACATGTAAAAACACAAAGGTAAGGAAACTAAGGGATTTCAAAGAAGCGTTTTAAATGGTGTCAATATTCTGAAAAGGGATGTGCACAGATTTAGCCAAACTTGCGTGCTCTAAACCCGGATGTAGATGAGAAAAAAAGCGAATAAATCACTGACATCAGAGAGTAGTTAATTATTCAAACTCTGGAGATAGCATGTTGGTAAAAGGGAGACAAATTTCAGATCAAAACCTTGAACAAAGTCTGCCCAATGTGTATACGCCCATGAAAATAATTTATTTCAAATGGCAGGCGTTATGATAGGTATCATTAGCCCTTTAGTTGACTTCGAGCTTCACAGAAAGGAAGATGAACATCAAAGTGGCAAAAATCCGAGAGGGGGACAGAATAATGATTCACAGACGTAAAAGAGACAGACAGACACAAAGGTAGAAAAACGGTGAGATGAGCACTGTGGAAGTAGTCGCATATGAAATGCGGTGGAGTCATGGTAGTTTGAAGTCAGAAGTCAACTGTCGATTAATAGACTTTTTTGCCGTATGAGTATACGTTGCCCAGGGAGCACTACGTGGAGGTAATTCTATCGCACACCCCGCCAATGGAAATAAAAGGAGTGTTCAATGCTTGAGGATAAACTTCTATTATGGATGGAACCCCCCCCCCCCCCCCAAATTCAAAAAGGAAACCAAAGTAGCAAGTTTAAATCTAACTAAGACAACTATAATTTCTCGATAACGATGTCTGAAATAAAAAAACTGCATTAGGGGGTGGGGGAGGGGTGACAATGAGAAAGAATAGAAAATATTTTGAATGAAACGGACGATCTGATCATGTTTTTACCTGCTTTTTCTCAAGATGGGTCTATGAGAACTTAGCCGGAACACTTCTCTATGCTATTTTGTAGGGTCTTAATTATTGGTATTCTACCGGACACGTGACTCATGGAGTAGATAACCCCACACTCTACCAACATGTCAGACAATACGGTCACATGAACATGGGAGAACAGTAGCCATTGGTTAGATGAGAAAATACACTCATCAATGAGTTAGAGAATTGTGATCATGGGGAAGGACTGTCACTTCGCTCACTCTTTGTATTTCTTTTTGTTCCATAGTCCTTATTCCCACCTTGCATGCATTTTATAGACTTCCTTACCTGCCATGTTAACTTGACTTATTTATATGATAGGCCTTAACAAGGACAACTATCATCTAAATCCGTCTAGACGAAACTAACCGAGCAAGGTTATCAACAATTTGAGTTTCAAGAGCTAGGCGCGCTTATACTTTTCTTTTCATTCATACATGCTGTCAGCTTGAGTTGGACAACAAGATGTTCAACTCTTAATATGAAAGTAATGGAAAGGAAATTTGCATGAAATCGGAAGCTATCAAACTCGAAAAGCTAACAATTCTTTAGACACCCCAGTCTCGGTTGGTCTAATTTCATTGCCCTCTTAAGATTCTTATAACTTAAGACATTTGAACCGACCAAATGCGACTTCATAGATCCTCCATTTTGTGCCATCAAATTGATATACAAAGTTGGTGGAATTTAGATTCAAAGATTCAAAGCGATACGGTAATAAGCTGGGATGACGATGCTATACCTATACTTTTGTTCGAGGTCTTGACACAAATGTGGAACGTGAGAATGCAAAGTACATCTCCCTGATTCACGAAACCCGATAATCGCGTGCTTGTAAATAAGGTGGTTTTCGGCCAACCAATTAAAAGTTTAACATCTGTAGGAATTGCGTGAGAAAAAGCATCAAAGGACAATGACAAAAGTTAAGTCGTTCCTTTGATGACAGAACGACAATTACACCAGAGAATATAAATGTCCGGGGAGTGAATATTGAAAATCGATTTATTAAGAGGGCACCATCATGAAAAGCCGTTCACTCTCCTCTTCGAGTGTCAAAAATTCATTATATTATATTTATTTGTTTGGCCATCAGCAGTTAGATAATTTTGCTTATAAATAGCGCATAAAAAAGGTATTTTAAGGCCATTTAAATTTTACTGTGTTGAGTTAACAAACAAGCCCAGGAAACCCATGGACCATAATTGTTTTTTTCTCTTTCTAGGGGAGGGGAGGGGGGGGGGGTTTAATCGAAATACACTTTTTTCTAACCTGGATAAGAGTACAGGGTAAATGGGAGCATGCATGTTTAGTGGAACTGAGGTGAAATAAACACGGAGAGATCATTGAAATCAAACGAGAGTGGACTAGGCGACCCTCCAATTTGTACCAATTCCTTCCCTATTCTACCGCTATTGTGTCCGCAATACTATTTATAAGGAGGGCAAATATTGTCTATGCTACTTATTAAAAGGTGAATTTCTCGCTAGAAAGTCTCTGACCTTTACCAGATAAGCCAAGTGCTATTTTGTGCATATTTAATAAAGTCTACATTGGTGAAATTATTGAACAATCGATTGGGTTCAGTCTTTAGTGAAAATTATTAAATAAGCAGCTCAAAGAAACGTGCAACTCATTGGCTTTCATGAGTGGTTGTCATGATCAAGCAAAATAGTTAAAAGGGTTAGTCTAGATAAGCCGGATTGTAGAAAGGTATGAGCTTGAGAATAGATGAACTAATCAGTGGGTACATAGAGGGCAAATCTTTAAAACTTGCGCGAATTTCTGACCCCTAATCTTCGCCAAATTGGCTACACGAAGGAAGTAATATCGCACGTGGTCCAATCTCTTGCCTAACGCACACTCGCAATTAGGAGGGGGAGGGGGCACATGTCCCAGTTAATCAGTAGTATCACAGTGCAGGGTGATAGTAATTAAGGCCTCTCCCCCCACTCCACCTTTCCAAGGCGTGCCCAGTCAAGCGCATGTGAAAGGAGGGGGGAGGGAGTGGTGGATGAACTGATTAAACTTTTCACGCACCGCTACCTCTCTCTCTCTCTCTGACTGGGAAACGCACGCAGCAAAAGGGAAGGGAGGAGGGAGGG